CTGATTTCTAAAACAATGTTCACAAATTCATTACTAAACACGATTCTATTTTCCATGTTCCTTGATATTATTTATCACAATATCCATTTCAAATAGTGCAGACGTAATTACATTATTGCAGGTTGAAAGAAGAAATATGTGCCTTCTTAGTCATATTTCTAGTGTTGTTTAGCCCCCTTCATCTCTTCCTTTGAATCTATTCCATCCATCTTGAAAACTTGTCACTTGGAGCCTACTTATTTATTCATTCATTTATTCAACAGATACTTACTGTATGTATGTAGTATTGGGGATCACTGTAGCACTTGGAATGCAGCAATGAACAGAACACCCTGGTCTTTGGAAAGCTACATTCCAATTCAAAGAGAAAGAGACAATGAGCACATAAGTACGTATAATAATTCAGGTGGTGATAATTTTTTTTACAAATGTCAAAAATCAAGCCGGAACGGGGGGCTGGGGTGCAATGAAAGACAAAGTAGGTACTCAGGGAAGTTCTCACCAAAGAGGTGACATTTTGGCAAGGACATGAAGGAAGTAGGGAAGTGGGATTCCAGGGGAGGAGCATTTCAGACAGGAAATGAAAAAGTTCCAAGACTAGAGCATAGCTATCAGGCTTAAAGAAACACAAAGACTGGCAGTCCATGCTGGAGCGGCATGGATAGGGGAGAGGGTGAGGGGCAGCGGAGCCCAGAGAGGCAATGTAGAAGGCTGGGATAAGGGCACATGTACAGCTCATAGGCCCGTGAGATGGCTTTGGCTTTGGCTTTGGCTTTGGCTTTTTTTCTGTGTGAGGTAGGAAGCTGTGACAAGCCATGACCTGGCTTGCATTTTAAAGGGATCCCTGTGGCAGTTGTCTTCTGACTAGTGTACAGGGCGCAGGATGATCGTGAGGAGGAGACCATCATGATAACTCAGGCAGGGGATAATGGACTTGGGGCAGTAACAGCAGTGTGGGTGTTAAGAAACACTGGAAACCTGGAGATTTTTGAAGGCAGGGCCAAAGAGATTTGCTGAGGGATCTGATGTGGGCTGTAGAAAGAAGAGTCAAGGATGACTGTACATCTTATTTTAATTTATTTTTTTAAATGTTTATTTATTATTTATTTTGAGAGAAGAGAGAGCGAGCAGGAGAGGGGTAAAGAGAAAGGGAGAGAGAGAAACCCAAGCAGGCTGCATGCTGTCAGCACAGAGCCCCATGTGGGGCTTGACCTCATGAACTGTGAGATCATGAGCTGAGCCAAAATCAGGAGCTGAATGCTCAACCGACGGAGCCACCAGGTGCCCCAAGGAAGACTGTATGTTTTAAACCCTCAGTGGCTGGAGTTGCCATTTACTGAAAAGTAGAGTATTCTGGAATAATAAATACATGAATTTTGAGTTCATCTCTATTGAGATGGTATTAAAAGCCATGGGATTAGATGAAGTCACCCAGGTAAGTGACAAGTGTGAATAGAGAAAGGAAGTGATCTGACGATGGAGCCCTGGGTGGCCCAGCATTTTAGAGTATGGAGTGAGAACGAAGAACCATCAAAGAAAACCAAGGAGCGGCTGTGATGTAGGAGAACCAGGGGAGTGTGGTGCTTTTGAAGCAAAGTCAAAAGTCTTCAAGGAGGAAGTAATCGGCATCTGTACTAATGTGGACTTTTTTGCTTTCTAAGCACACTGTGTACATATTTTTTTCTGGGATGCACAGGAAAATGCACTACATCTTAATGCCTAAGGTCCAAAAACATGCAATCACATGGCAACATGTTATTATTACATGATAAATGAAAAATAATCAAATAGTATATACTTTCACAAAGCAAGCAAGAGTTGAGATAGTGCAATATCTCTGGTACAAAAATGACTAACAGAACTGAGGAAATCCTGAAAGATTAAGAGTCACTCACTTCCTCATGCTTCTTTTCTCCACAACAGAGAAGAAACATGACCTGCCTGAATCTGAGTGGTAGTCCTCAAGTCAGTCTCCAATCTCATTGTCATGGGATTATACTTTATTTTCATTGGATCCCTGCGTTAGTTCATGTTCCTACTTTTTAATATTTTTTTTAGTTAGTTTATTTGTTTGCTTTTTCTAGAGAATTTTCTAGGAGGTAAACTTTCTGAGTACTTAACATGTTTGAAAAGAACACCTGATCATTAATTTGGCATACCAGATTTAACATTTTTATAGGTAATCAAGTGCTAAATTTCACAAATCATCCTTCAGAACCTGGAGGTCTGTTGTTACTAGTGAGAAGGATGACATTTTTTTGTTGGTTTGTTTTAATTAATGTTGCCTTTTCCACTCTGAGTGCTTTTTGTTACTCATTTTATTCTTGTTGATGTGTCTAGGTGTCTTTGTCCATTCTATACAGCTTCAGTGGCCCCCTTTCAATGTACATGTAATTCTTTTTTTATTATTGAAGTATATTGATGTACAATCTTATATTAGTTTCAGGTGTACAACATATTAAAAACTCATTCTTGAGTCCTGACAAAATTCTCTTATTTCTTTGATAATTTTGTCCCTTGACTTTTCTCTGTTCCATTTTCCTAGAATTTCTATGAGTTGGATATTGAAGCTCAATACTGATTGCTATAACTCATTTTTCTTTTTATAATATATATTTTCTACACTTCTATGCTTTTTACTTTCTGGGTGATTTTTGAGAGATCTATCTCCCAACATGATTTTAAATTTCATGTAAACCACATGCTTAATTTTTAAGTTGTCTTTCTTGTTTTTGGACCCTCTCTTAATATAGCATTCTATTGTTATTTTGTGGTTGCCTTAGTCTTGGATCTCTTTCATGATACAAAGTAGTTTTTTAAATTAAATTAAATTTAATATTTTACCTTATCTCTTGTGCATAAATTATCTGTTTACTCCCAGACTAGGTTTTATACATGTTTATTTTGGTATCTCTTTTTCATTTTGCAATATTTTCGAAAGTGAGTGGTAATCTTTGGCCGTTGATTGACAGTTAAGTATGGGACAGCAAAGTAGCTGACTTGAAGTTCAATGACTGTGGGCAGGAGAATGGCAGAGCTCATTCTTAGGCTGGGCATTCTGGCTCCATATTCCAGGATGAGGAAAGCTTTGCTACAGAGCACTAACGCCCACAGCAGTTGCTCCAATTCTCCCTAAAATAGTTTTACTTCTTTTCTAAGGGGGTGGGGGGAAGACCTGAAACCATAAAATTCCTAGAAGAAAGCACAGAAGCTCCTTGACATCAGTCTCGGCAATGATATTTTGGATTTGACACCAAAAACAAAGGCAACAAAAACAAAAATAAACAAGTGGGACTACATTAAATTAAATAGCTTCTGCATAGCAAGGGAAACCATCAACAAAATGAAAAGCCAACCTCCTGGAAGGGAGAAAATATTTGCATATCATATTCTTTTCAAAAAAAATTTTTAATGTTTTATTTATTTCTGAGAGAGAGAGAGAGACAGAGTGAGGAGGGGAGGGTCAGAGAGAGAGAGGGAGACACAGAATCTGAAGCAAGCTCCAGGCTCTGAGCTGGCTGTCAGCACAGAGCCCGATGCAGGGCTCGAACCCATGAACTGTGAGATCATGACCTGAGCCGAAGTTGGACGCTTGAGTGACTGAGCCACCCAGGCGCCCCAATGCATATCATATTCTTGATAAGGAGCTAATATGCAAAATATATTGAGAACTCACAACTCAAGAGCAAAGACCCCAAACAATCCAATTAAAATATAGGCAAAGGAACTGTATAGACATTTTTCTAAAGAAAACACACAAATGACCAGCAGGTACACGGCAAGGTGCTCAACATCACTAATCTTCAGGGAAAGGCGAATCAAAACTTCAATGAGATATGCCCTCCCACCCATTAGAATGGCTATCCTCAAAAAGACAAGGGAAAATAGGTATTGATGAGGATGTGAAGAGAAGGGAAAACTTGTGCACTGTTGGTGGGGATGTAAACTGGTATAACCACCATAGGAACCAGTATGAAGTTTTCTAAAAAAATTAACACTAGAACTATCATATAATCTATATAATCTGGGTATATACCCAAAGGAAATGAAAACAGGATATCAAGATACCTGCAATCTCATGTTCTCTGCAGCATTTATTCACAATAACCAAGATAGGAAAGCAACACAAATGTCTATGTGTATACATACATACACACACAATGGAATATTATTCAACCACGAGAAAGAAGGAAATCCTGCCATGTGTGATAATATGGACAGACCTGGATGGCATGACGCTAAGTGAAATAAGCCAGACAAAGAAAAACAAATACTACATGGTACCACTTATATGTGGAATCTAAAAGCAAAGTCAAATTCATTGAAACAGTAGGAAAGTGTTTGCCAGAGCCTGGAGAGAGGCACAGGGAAAAGGGAGAGGTTGGTAAAAGGGTACCAGGTTTCAGCTGTAAGATGAAGAAAGTCCAAAGTTTGCTAAAAGAGTAGAAGTTATATGGTCTTACCAAACAACAACGACAAAGGTGCAAATGTGAGGTGATGGATGTGTTAATTAACTAGATGTTGGGAATCTCCTCCCAATGTGTACATACACATCTCCAGGCTTCCCCTGCTCTCTGAAAATTGGCTTTACAGCACTTTGCTCTTCTCAAAGACCTCAATTAGCACCTGTTTTTGCTCACTAAAAGAGGATTTTCACTTTTACAAAGCAGTAATTCCTTCTTTACTTTATGCCATTTTGCCTTATGAAAGTTTTCATGGGAATGCTTTACTTTTGGGTAATGGGGGAAACCTGTCCCCAAATCTTTTCACGATGTATATGTATACAAATCACCATCATATGCCCTTTAAATATCTTATGGTTTTATTTGTCGATGATACCTCAGTAAAAACAATAAGAGAGAGAGAGAATAAACCACAAAAAGAATGCAAAGAGGGAAGAGAAGAGAAGGGAAGGGAAGGGAAGGGAAGGGAAGGGAAGGGAAGGGAAGGGAAGGGAAGGGAAGAGAAGAGAAGAGAAGAGAAGAGAAGAGAAGAGAAGAGAAGAGAAGAGAAGAGAAGAGAAGAGAAGAGAAACCAAGTTTCTGACCTGACTAAAGACAGTGACATGTTGGAATGGCAGTGGGGGAGATATTCGCAACTTCACACATATTATGAGATACATCCTTCATTTTCAGCCCTGTCTTCTTCCACCCTCCGTTTACCTACTAACCCAGACTCTGTAGCCTCATCAGAGTTCTGCTAGTTCAGTCTGTGAGTATTTTAAGCTGTGACTTCCAAATCAAAACCTTCTATTCATTTTCAATCTTCTAGAACTATGTTGAAATTTCACATTCATTGGTGCCCTCTCCTGCTCCCTTTACTGTTATGGAATTTTTAATATAAGGAATTATAAAATCAAATGACAGCCAGGGCCAGGAGGAGAGAACAACTCTGTGGAGCACCACGTCGAAGACTTGTCATTCATTTGAAATGGCGACCATTATCTATCCCTTAGCCAATGGTTGACCTGTGAGAAGAAAATACAAGTGTTGTCAAATCTTTGACTTTTGAGACTTGACAGACACATTAACTTTTATGAGAAATAGTTCTTAAATGTCAGAAAACAATATTTTTCTAAACATTCTAGAGGCCAATCAAAACATGTCCCCTGGCAAGACCCAGCCCTTGGTTTGCCGGTTCTCAGTCTCTGATTTATACTTTTTTTTTTTTTGAAGAAAATTATTTCTCCACTCTCATTACAGTGAGCTCACAGAAAACAAGGAAAATAAGTACAGGTATTCAGTTGCCCCCAAGTTGGAGGAGTTAAATCTTATACTGCTTATGAAATCTTAGAACAATGTCTAGTGCATGGGAGACCGATAATGTTAACTCTTGTGTTATCATTGTGAGCTATTTGGAACGTCAGTTAGATCATCATGTTGCAAAAGGCAATAATAATAACTTATGCATTCAGAACCAAAAACAACAGGGCCAGGTGGCAGTTTTCAGAGGCCAGAGCAAGACTCTGCCAGCACGCTAAGGGATGGCAGACAATTGACTCTCACCTTGAAGGAGGGGGGGGACATAAAATACCTATTAAGTAGGTGGTTGCCAAGAATACACTTTAACAAATTCTAATTATACCCTAAATCTTGGCACTCATTTCTCCTTAAGAGAACCTAGGAAAATTCCATCTCAATTTCCATGTCTCCCAGAATGTTTTCTCAGATACAACCTTAACATGCTTACATAGCATTCAAAGTTCTTTCCCTTAAACATGTGTGGGGATTGTAAAGGACACACAAACATATATTAAGCGCACATGTATACACACACTCATACATGCACATGCACTTGCACACACACATAAACACACATGTGCACAGGCACACTGTCATTCTGCTGCTCCACCAAGGATTCAGCAGAATATTCTAGTTTCCTGTAGAATCTCTTACATGAATTATTAGGATGTTTTCCTGGTAATTATTTGTCAATTATCTGTAATGTCACCCAGAGCTTCTGCGTCAAATATAGAAATAACTGTCCAGCTTGTGGAGGGCACCTGTCTTTCCCTGATGGTCCTCAGGATCCTTTGTGCAGGCGTTGGTGACCATGACAAGAGTCACCTTGATTTCCAGGGTGTCCTGCTGCTTAGTAATACCAAAGCCCTCCCGCTGCTGACAGTACTGTGCCACTGATGCCTTGCTTTTGTCGTAATGCAGTTTTAAAAATCATCTTTAGCCCTAATTAGCCAGAGTGAGAATTCTGTCTTCTCTCCTCTGTAAGTTTACAGAAGAGGATTGAAAGTAGGGCCCCGTGGGCTGTACGTTTTAGTTATTTATAGTAAGGCCAAGGGTCCACAATCAGAAGAGAAAAGAAGCATTGCTTTTTCCCAAGAACATAGCAGCAAGAGCCCTGGATGGCTGGTCCATTACTGCTCAGTACTGAAAAGTATGCTGTGGGAACCAATGAGGGTTTGCTTAGTTTTCAATGATGGTATCAGTTGGAGAGAACCAGGCCCATGCTATCTCTTTGGAGGACTGACCTCTTGTGCCATGTGATGTCTCTGAATCTGATTTCTCCATCTAGGAAGTGGGAAACCAAGCTCATGGGCTTGTTTCAAAAGACCAACTAGCTAAGTATAAGTATCCCTACTCTACAGGCAAAGAAACTAATGTCTCAGGATGCAAAAAGAGCTTCCTACATTGAAAAGTGCTTTACAGATTTAAGTTACTAGCATTACTATCAATCTAAAACCACTAAGATCTCCTCCCTTCCTCCTTTCCTCTTCAACTACATAAATTTGGAACTTATATCCTGGTGATATCACAAAAGAACATTTAACACTGCAGCTGGGGACAAAGATGTTCTAACCCTGGTCTGGGAAAAGTAACTTTTGGGGGAAGAAATAGCCAATGCTCTCATTTTAATGGAAGGATGATTAGAGGACCCAGCATTGCATCACTGAACCTGTGAACTCACTGTTAATCTCCTCACAGTAAAGCAGTTGAAGAGGGTTTTAATGAAAGGGTAGTATATCACTCTAGGGGGGGATTCAGCTACCAGAGTTTTCGTGCCAGCAGAAGGTAACTGTGCTGAGAACAAGAAAGAGAATTCTCGGGGAACTGAAGATACTTTGACCAGAGTCTCAAACTTGAGTGAGCATCAGACACCCTCCTGGGGCTTGATAAAAACCCCAATTGCTGGGTCCCACCCATAGAGTTTCTGATCCAGCAAGCCTAGGATGGGGTCAGGAATGTGCATTTCTGACAAGTTCCCAGGAGATCTTGATGCTGCTGGTCTTTCTGTCTGTACTTGTCTATGTCCTAATCCCCTCTTATAAGGACACTGGTCATATTGGACTAGGACTAGGGCTCAGTCAAATGGCTTCTTGTTAACTAAATCACCTCTTTCAATGCCCATCTCCAGATGCAGTCATGTTCCGAGGTCCTAGGGCTTAAGACCTCAACGTATGAATCTAGGGGTTTGTAGAGGGACATCACTCAGGGGGTGATGGGCCAACTCTGCCAACACAGTGACTTGGAAACCTCAGCAAGTCAGGGGCCAGCAAGAAGATCCCACAAGCAGACACCCTACACATGACTACATGGAGTATGTCCATGGATGAGAGGCTGCATGGAGAAATATTCTGGAGGAATTTGTGAGACTGTGGGAGGGTGGCACAGCCTTCAGACCTGAAGTATTCTTCAGGTTCTCTGAGTCTCTAAAATATATGTGCTGCGGAACATATTCATTTAACCAACTTTTCATAGAGTAAAACCCAAATGCTTTTTAAATGGGGAGCAAGGGTCAGCTGGTGGGTTTCTGAGTGGGAATTTATTTAAATAGGATGGAGTAGCGATCTTTCTAGAAATTAAACCCAGAAGCTTCTGCACAGAGCCAGAGCATTCATGTTCCCAGCAGGGTGTCTCAGCCTTGGCACTGCTAATATTTTGAGCAGAACAATTCCTGGTGTGGTGGGTGACTGTGCTATGCATTGTAATATGTTGAACAGCAACCCTGGCCTTTTCCATTAGATGCCAGGAGTACCTGCCCTCAGTTGTGACAACCAAAAATGTTTCTAGACATTTCCAAATGCCCCCCAAGGCAGGAGAAGACAAAATCGGTCCAGATAAGAACCACTGCTCCACAGGTTCTCTCTTAACCCATTTCTATAACAAAAATACCATAGATTAAACAACAAACATGTATTTCTCACCATTTTAGGGGCTGGAAAGTCCAAGATTAAGGCACCAATAAATTCTGTGTCTGGTGAGGGTGTACAGACTTTTTCACCATGTCCTCAATTGGTGGAAGGGGACAGAGAGTGCTCCTGGGTGTTTTTTATAAGGGCACTAATCCTGCTCACAGGAGCTTTGCACTCATGACCTAATTACTTCCCAAAGCCTCCACCTCTTACTGCCATCACCCTGGAAATTCAGGTTCAACACATGGATTTGGGGAGACACAATCACTCAACCTCAAGCAGATTCTGTTTCATAAACTCCAAGTACACTCTCTGCATCCTCACAGCAATTCTATGAAACTAGTAGACACACTTCTCATTGATTAGGAAGAATAGACTTGTTGATATTTGCTGACTTTCACATACCTCGGAAGGGTCTCTCTGATTCTCAAATCTGTATCTTTTACTAGGCTGTCCCCAAACTCTAGAATAAGGACAATTAAGTTCCTGTAACTAAGCGTGACTCTGACTTCCAGAATTAGGATAATGAAAATATCTCCGGTTCCAGGCCCAGAGAAGAGATCACATAGTAGGGAAAGTGAGTCCAATTTTCACAGCCAGCCATTCGTGCAAGCAGCATCATTGGGCTTCCCTGAGGCTTGTTTCTCTTGCTGCAGCCTGACAGACATCTGTCAGGTAGAAGCTTAAAGCTGGCAGGGTATGAAAAACCCTCCCAGCCCTCTGAGATTTATTGGGCAAAGCAAGCCTGTCAGCCTGTTAGTTACTGTCACGATGGTGCCAGACTGATTTTAGTTCTTTCATCAGACACATGAAACACTTGGTGTTAGCAGGGAAACCCTTTTGGGGATCAAAGACCTGTGGCTTTGTGGTTCCTTTTTTTTTTTTAATAACGTGTCTTGGATGTCAGAGGTAATGCATTGCTTCAGAGGAAGTGAATGGGTAAGCAATTCGTCTAAAGTATACTCAAAGAAATGGGCGGAAAGCTGGCTCGGCCAAGCAAAAGAGATATTTGTTCCTTCATGTCACAACATTCATGGGACACCTAATGTGTGCCCAGTCTTGGGCCTGGCACAAGAAACTCAGTGTCAGACACAACAGGCTACATGCCCCCCGGGTTGTCCCTGGCACGCTCCGGTGAGACACTTAATCAATTCACTGTAACACGATGGTGCTCAGGTGGTCAACACCAGAAGAAAGGCTAAGAAGCCATATGAAGAACAAAAGACCTAGGAATACAAATTTAAGGATGCCCTGCTTAATTAAATCATGGTAGGATTTATTCTATCTGCTGCGAATTCAGAATACAGGAAACCCAGGGGCATAGAATTTTATTCCCATTTGATTCTTCTTCCTATAATCACCCCCATGGGTTCCGTTGCTTTGCTCTCATTCAATCCAGACAACTGTTTGGATCCTCACCCAATATGTGCATAGCATTCTTCCCACAATTCTTCATGACTTGTCTCATTTGCGAACTGTTAACCTACCCTGAATACTTATTTTTTATATAAAGTTTTCATTTTTAAGTAATTTCTACACCCAACATGGGGCTCAAACTTATAGCACCGTGATCATGAGACGCAAGCTCTACAGACGGAGGCATCCAGGCGCCCCTTCCTGAATAATTCTTTTTTCTCCTCGTTGTCTTTTCTTCTTTTGTGCTTCCCAAATGTTCTCACTTTCTTCCTGTTTTGGTTGTTTGTATTGCAACTTTTAAGTGTCCCATTCCCACTGGTAGTTTCTGCTTTTCTCCCAGATTTTCTAGGATGAGTTTGCATTCTTTTAGCAAAGAGACATTGAGAACCAAACAGAGTCAGACATATTATTTCTGATGCAGCTAATTTTACCTTCTTGTGGCTGCAGCAGCAACTCGGGTGATTTCAACAAAGACTTGTGTATGCGGAGTCTAAATTAAAGAAGCTGATCTATTTTGTCCTTTCGGGGTAAAATGTCATTTTCACTTTGAAGCCCCTGTCTATACAGCCCTTGGTTGATTTTGAGTTTCAGCTAATTGTAAAGGAGACAGATTAGAAGCCAACAGTGGGACTGAGCCAGTTGAATCAGTCAGTGAGGTATATTTTCTACAAAGGACAAGACAGAATTGGAGCACATAAAGCTAAGTATTTGGAAGCTGATGTTTTATGAGAGGAAGGAGAAATATTTGAACCCTGTTAATTAATAGCTTTTTAAATTAAAATAACCCAATTTGTTCTCATGACATAACAGTGATTTGGTCAGGTCATCTTGTACACCAGTCTTCCCCTACTTTGCACGGCAAGGAAAGGACAATAGCAGTAAAAGAGTGTCCTTCCCCAGCCCCCAGTTGGTGCGCACGTGTTCTGTGCACAGAGAATTGGGCTGAGTCATTCAGGTGCTCGACACATCTGATAAGAGGTTGGAAGAAGTATAAGAAACCGGTCTAGGGGCACTTGAGTGGCTCAGTCGGTTAAGCTTCCGACTTTGGCTCAGGTCATGATCTCACTGCTTGTGGGTTCGAGCCCTGCGTCGGGCTCTGTGCTAACAGCCAGCTCAGAGCCTGGAGACTGTTTCAGATTCTGTATCTCCCTTTCTCTCTGACCCTCCCCTGTTCATGCTGTGTCTCTCTCTCTCAGAAATAAATAAAATATAAAAAATAAAATAAAGAAACCAGTTTATTTCTCCTATTTATTTTTCCATCTGAATTTTTTTCCTCCCCTTGTGGGTAACCAAGCAGAGAGTGTTCCTCAGGCATTTTTCTCCCACTCAACAGCAATGGGTAAACTCCGAAGCGAAATATCAGAATGAGCACTTCCTTTACCCTACACGCATCATCTGCTCCAACCAAACTGGCAAGACCTATCAGTTGTTGAGCACATACTATTTGCCAGACACGATTCTTAGTGCTTTGTCTACATTTATCTACTTTGTACTCTTATAATCCATAGGAAAATCCATGAAGTAGATCTTGACATCCTCATTTTACAGATTAGGAAACTGGGGCTCAGAGAATTTAATAAACCAACCCAAGGTCACACACATGCATACTAGGTGATCAATCTGTGATTTGAATCAAGGTCTGTGTGACTCCATACTGTCCTGAGTGTTCTTCTTGGCATGCATGTGTACAAGTCTGTGCTGCCTTTCTCTTCTTGGACCCACCATATGCATTCCTTGTGGACTGTCATTCCTTTGCATTTCCATTTATCATGTCATTCTATTCCCTCAAGTCTCAACTTATTTCCCATCTCTTCCACAGACCTTACCCTAGCCTTTCCAGGAATCAGAGGATTCAGATTCAGAGGAATGTCTTCTCTGAAATCTTATTGTGCTTCTTTCCTTGGGATTTCATAAATGCAATCTACTGTTGTTCATTGGTTGGGCATCAGGGGTTAGAGGCCAATATAAGCTGTTTTATCCACTGAATATTCAGATGGTTTGTGACTGTAATTTTCCTACTACAATGCTCAATGACAGAAACTGGGCCTGTTTCATTACCCTAAGGCCAAGCAGACTAACCAACACATAGTGAGTACTCACTATATTTTTATCAAATGAATACATATGTAAAGGGATGCTGAGGGTGAGAAAGATCAGATCTACATGCCTGAAAGCCAAAGAAACATCTTGTGAAAGTAATTTCTTGTCAACAAACATTAATCTCAGCCCTGTAGGTCAGGGTAGGAGAGGAGGGGTGGTTTTAAGTGCCACCTGATATATATTGCCCCATCCCATTAGTCACCATGCTACCCAATAACCCTAGAAGAACTCAGCTAAAATTCCTGAGACATAGAGTTTATAAAGTAAGTTTTAAAATGCTACCTTATGAGGGTCTCTATAAGGTCCAGGGCACACGAAGGGCTGCTTCTCTTTAGCCCAGGCAATAGACCATGGCAACAAGTGGGCACAGGAAGCATTCTCCTCTCTTGAGCAGGTAGTCACCCTGGAGGTAGAGATCCATGAGCTGTGAGAAGGAAGAAGACCACAGAAGCCGGGTTAGGAAGTGAACCAGACCTACACACGGAAAGAAGTTGAGAGGACAACATTACAAATCACTACCGTCAAGAGACATCCCGGAAGAGCCAAACGCAGGTGGGAGAACATGGTGGTCTCCCCAGGTGGCCAACAGACCAGCTCCAATACCGTGTGATGAAGAGCCCCCAGATTCTACCTAGTCAACAAGAAATCTACATTGGAGAGCACCAGAAGACACCCACCTTAGTTTTGTTACATGCAGTTATTATTGCTGAATATTTTTAATGTTTTACTTCTGCTTCAAAATATTCTGGTAATATTGTATTCATTCTGACAAAAAATTATATCCTAACCAATCAGGAACATTCCCCCCCCCCCCCCCCCCCNTTGTCAGTTTAAGTTTAGACTTGTTGATACAACTTGTTGATACAATCTCTGGGCTAGCCTAGAGGACAAATGACAGCATTACACCAAAATATCATGCCCCCCCCCCCCCCCAAAAAAAAGCCCTTTGTATTTTTAAAAGAGCCTTTAGTGCACATTCTGTTGCCTCAGAGAACGACACTTTGAGGAATCCAGGGTCAAGCTAACTTGCCAAAAACCACATAAACACAGTACCCCTAGACATCACAAAACAAAGTAGAGAGCACAACCTTTCTCAAAAGAAAACAGATAAAACATGAAAACAATCTGGCCACTGCAGGGGCCCATTTGTGCCCAGTAGAATGTCAGATGCACCTAAAGCAACAAGAGCCTATTGGACTCTGTGTTGCCAGGAAACAGATTCTTTTTTCTGTGCTCTAATGCCTTTTCACCACACTGAGAAAGCTGGCATCGTGATATTCAGACCCAGATGGGAGAAGATGACTCTTAATGACCCTCCTCTTCTAGAAGTTGAGATAGTGGTGTTCTAATCTAGACTATCCTAAAAATAATTGGGCTTCTTTTGAATCAGAGTATTGATTATAGTAGGAAATGAAAATTGGTTTGCTATCTTGAGAGCCTCCTCACAATAACATAACATTCCTTTTATGATTCTGTAGATCTTAAGTCACTAAATTCACTAGATCAGCTTTGGCTGCAAAAGCTAGAAACAGAACTTAAATTTGCATGACAAAAGTTTTTTTTTTTTTTTTTTTTGGCCAGGGAGTCAGCTGCAAATAGCTCTAGGCTGCAGTTGGCCTTAGAGAAGATTGGGGTGGGGCTTAGAATAACCAGGAAGTTCTCTAATCTGTCAAGTTGGTTTCTTTCTAGAGTTGCAACTCCCTTCCTTCAGACTGGCTTTAGTTAGAGGGTCAGAGCGTAACCATTTACTGCTCCTCACTTTGTATCTCACAGCTTCCCTCATCACCAAAAGGGAGACCCTGGAATGGCTTGGCTCAGCTTGAGTCCCATGCTCACCCCTACGCCTAGCAGGTGGTTTTCCTGTGATGCAAAACTTCCACCAGGAAGTTTCCAAAACGAAAGGGAATATAATTCTAGAAGTAGGGAAGGCAATCAGGTGGATATAAATAATAGTTCTCCAGGGGCACCTAGGTGGCTCAGTCGGTTAGTTTGAGTCCTGCATTAGCCTCTGTGCTAACAGCTTGGAGCCAGGAGCCTGCTTCAAATTCTGTGTCTCTCCCTCTCCTTCTGCTCCTCCCCAGCTTGCTTTCAGTCTCTCTTTAAAAAAATAATTTTTTTTTTACATTTAATTAGTTTCGAGAGACAGAGTAAGACAGAGCATGAGCAGGGAAGGGGCTAAGAGAGAAGGAGACAAAGAATCTGAAACAGGCTCCAGGCTCTGAACAAGCATTCAGCACAGAGCCTGACGGGCTCGAACCCACAAACCGTGAGATCATGACCTGAGCGGAAGTCGAATGCTTAACCGACTGAGCCACTCAGGAGCCACTCAGTCTCTCAAAAAATAAATTAAAAAACAAAAAAAAAAATTAAAAAAAATAATGGTGCTGTGTACCATTGTATTCTGAAACTCTGATTTAAAAAAAAAAAGGAATATTGGGGTGCCTGGGTGGCTCAGTTGGTTAAGTGTCTGACTGCGGCTCAGGTCATGATCTCACCATTCGTGGGTTCGAGCCTTGCATTGGGCTCTGTGCTGACAGCCAGCTCAGAGCCTGGAACCTGTTTCAGATTCTGTGTGTGTGTTTCTCTCTCTCTGACCCTCTCCTGCTCATGCTGTCTCTCTCTCTCTCTCTCAGAAATAATTAAAACATTAATTAAAAAAATAAAAAGAATTTAAAAAGGAATATCATAAATTTAAAATTAATTTAATGTACTTTCTAGGAGCTTTTACCTGGATTTCAATTTTCTTGCTTTTTTAACCCCTTTTCTATCAATCCAGGCAATTAAGAAAGTGCTAAGTGCTTTGTAAGTGCAAAATAGAATCTTTAAACAAATAAATAAGCAAGCACACCACACACTTTATTTTAATGCTGTATGTTCTTTTCACTATATATAGTCCAACCAATCTGCATCTCTTGCCCTATACACACTATTCATCTCTGCATGCAGGTTGCTTTCTCTAGGATGTTCTTTTTCTTTGCTTCTATCCATCTTCACCAGTCCCTTTTTTCAAAATCAAGCTAGAAGCTCACCTTCTCCATGAAGCTGTCTATGGTCACTCTGACTTCTTTTTCAGCTACTCAGTGCTTTTGTCACAGCATTTCCTCTATCATCTTTAGTTTGTTCTTTTAATCAGGAAACTCCCCCTTCTATGTGTATCAGAAACCCATCTCCTGAAAATGCTAAATCCAGAGTCTAGGTGTTGAAAGCGAATGAGTAAGTTACACATGACTTCCACCTACAGCTCAAAAAGGAAAGAGATACCAAGGTAAATAAATATCTAAGGGGATACTAAGGAGAAATAATACACTATTCTTCATAAAGCACTGTCATTAAAATGAACATCACTCAATAGCAAATACAGTTCTGAACCTCAGTTTATTTCAGGCAAAATTCAGACATGGATTACTAGCTGCCATGATGTGCCAGTAACTGTGTTAGACAAAGAGGAGAAGGAAGAATTTGCTTATCAAAAAAGTCATAATTTTGCAGAGGTGAAAGATTATGCTTCTGGAACCCCTGAATTAAAGGTGTGTTGGAAAAGATATGTAAGTATAGGTGGAAGAGGAGAACTTTCTCAATTTCCCTGCAAGAAATAAATCTTTGGCATATTCCCATATAATGGTTTCCCTCTTTGTGTTTCTCCTTTCTACCTCCTCCTCATTCATACTCACACTCTTACCTGGACAGAAACTATGCCCATTTACATTTGTTTCCATAGAGCATTCATTAATAATTTATTAAATGGGTGAATGAATGAATGAATGAATGCTGACATAGGTTGCATACAGGCAGTATAGTCCCTTATACACCTTTCTCAAAGGTTGGTATTTTATTCTGTAAGTGGTAGATAGGCATCATAGCTTTCAAAAGAGAGAGTCAAGATCAGGTTTGTATTTCATAAAGAATACTTGTGTGTAAGCAGAATTTGTACTGGTCGAGGCAGGGAGAATCTAGAAGCTGTTATAATATTCTTTTTTTTTTTTTTTTTTTTTGAGAGAGAGAGAGAGAGAGAACAGGGGAGGGGCAGAGAGAGAGAAGGAGAGAGAGAATCCCAAGCAGGCTCCAGGCTGTCAGCACAGAGCCCGATGCAGGGCTTGAACTCATGAGCCGTGAGATCATGAGCTTGAGCCGAAATTGAGAGTTGGACCCTTAACCAACTGAGCCACCCAGGCAGCCCCATAATATTCTGAACAAAAGATGATCAGGGACTGAACTAAGACACTACTAATGGGAATAAAGAAGCCAGGACAAATATTTGCAAGACAGAATGTGGTTTCTGCTTGGATATAGACATGAAGGAAGAGTCCAGGATACAGCAATTTTGAGTAAATGAAAGAATTTGTGCCATCTCTTAAAGATGTTTGTAACAGGGCTTTTTCTTGTGCACACGGGGGTGATTGATAGTGTAAGTAGCACAAGCCCATGTAATCGGCATCCGTTGTCAATGCCAAATTTTTCTCACCTTTGAAACAACACCAGCACTATGACAGACTTGGTTCAGGTATTTCATTAACTGCCACAGTACTTGTTAATTTTATAACTTACATAATTATTCCCTTTTATAAGTGTCTTAAATGTCAAGGCTCCTGAAGTAATGGCAGAGCAGCAAATTAAGTAACTTGTACTGAACTTACAAAGTCTTAACTATTTGGGCAAACTTTCAACACCAGCAAGTGTACAAATGCATATTATGAATCCTTGGGCTCTCCCTTAAAAAAGATGCCTCTAACAAGGTGTAACAATTTCATACAAGTTAGGACATCTCCTATGCAAGCATGAACTGGAGTGTTATTTCATCTCAGTCCCCTACAGAAGTGACCCCCCCCCCCACCCCCCGACAGGCTGGGAGCCCAGAAGCCCTTTTGTTCTAAGGAAGAATTTCAAAAGGAAAAACTAAGCAGATAAACTCAAACATTTCAGATCCATGAATAAGACCCGAAGGATTAGGAAGTAGATGTTGTCAGCCTGTTTCAATTCTCACCCCCATATCAGTCCAGATAGAGAATGCTGTAGGCTGGAGAGGAAAAGATAACAGAGACAGAAGAGAGACAAGCCATGGGAGTTAACCATTAATGAGAGAGGTGGGGAGGCTGTGTCCCAATCCCTCCTTTCTTCAGGCTCAGCCTCCATAGGGAGCCAAAAATACTTTCAGCCCTTCATGTAAGTTGTTGGATTCGAAGTTAAGAGAACCTGGGCCTCAATTTTCAACTGAAGTCCTTGGAAAGCAGTTGACTATGCCAGTTTGGTGTGGCATCACAGAGAATAAAGGGAGAGGGCTGGAGACAACCCAAGATGTTCCTTAGGCCCTGGAATCCGTGGAAGTGCATCCAAAGGTTGTTGCGGCCCCCCAGAATGGGTGCACCAGTTAGACCAAAGACCATGTTGGTGGGCTCTAGAAGAATTATGGTGGCCTGTCCAGTAGGGCTCAGCTGAGAATGCTGTTAAGATGCCATTATGGTGGAGATAAGCCAGAGAATCAAATGAATGGACAATGGCAGGCCACCAAGATGAACCCAAATCATGAAACAAACCTGTCTCCACCATTTGCATGCCCTTCAAAGCATAGCATTAACTCCAGGAATAAGAGGGGTACAGTTGAAGAACCTCAAACCTGAAATGACAGCAACTTAACATAACTGAGTTTCCCTGGTAATGGCTACATTAAATGTTTGCATCTGAAACAGTGGGAGCCTGACATAGAAATTAGGTTTTTACAGGCAAGTGAAGGAATTTACACATTTGCTGACCTGAGCAACAGCAACAGTAAAATGTATACACAAGTTTATAACATAGAGATAAAGCACAGGAACTCCAGAATGGAAGCCAGCTCTGGCAGTTACCAGCTATGTGGCTGTGAGCATGTGACTTATGCTGACATCCACATCTGACTCCAACTTCTGACGTTTTTTCATTACCAAGTTTAAGACTTTGCACATGGATCTGAGTGGGCTCAGCAAAAAGTTCCCATCCTGTGTTCCTGGTCTCTTTTCCTGTTCCATATCTCTTCACCCAAGATTTTTATTTTCCAATTCAAGGTTCTGATTTCCAACTGTGCCTCTTTCATGTCTTCCCAACCCAGAACCATGCCCTTCCCACTATGAACCCAGGCAAGGAATCCTGTCCCTGAAAACCTAGTCTCTGACATCACTGTTGGAGTAGCCTTTCTAGAGGGGATGGTCTTTCAATTTAGTCTATCCTGCTGAGTATAGAACCACAAAGATTTTAAGAGAATAAAGAAATTTAAGAAGGGATTGGATTAGATGGTGCTTGTAAAGCATTTGGTGTTAAAAACTTTATATGTCACAGCTGTTAATAGAACCCTTGTATGTACAGCAAGTTCCCAGAAAAATAAAATAATAAGGACAGAAAATATTCATACCAGCAAGGAACATTAGCACTGTCAGAAGGTACAAGCTGAAGCCCAGAGAACCGAGTCACGAGCAACACGTGCAGAAGCCAACTGTGCTGTAGTGTTCTCATCACCTTTGGATTGATCTTATTTGTCTTAGTAGTTGGTCTTTATGCCAACTTTCGCAAGATCACTTGGAGTGCAAATTATTTCATCATACAGAAGCCTACATTCTACTTACCTCACTGTGTCTGTCCCAAACGTCTCCAGGATAGCTACAGCCTTTTGGATTCTCCTTCCCCAGTTCCTCTTCCTTTCCCTCAGAGTGACTCGGCATCCTTAAGTTGTTATTTTTCTTTTTTTTTTTTTTTAATTTTTTAATGTTTTTATTCATTTCTAGGAGATAGAGAGACAGCGTGAGCAGGAGAGGGCCAGAGAGAGAGGGAGTCACAGACTGAAACAGTCTCCAGGCTCTGAGCTGGCAGTCAGCACAGGGCCCGACGCGGGACTCGAACCCACGAACCGTGAGATCATGACCTAAGCGAAAGTCGGACGCTTAACCGACTAAGCCACCCAGGCGCCCCTTAAGTTGTTTTTCATTGACATGAGTTTCCTTTATTCTTTAAAACCATGAGCATGTATTCCTAAACTGTATGTGTATGTGTGTGTATGCATATATATATAATTTGGTTTTATAAGTATTTCAGCTATGTATATTTCATTTGTTTGTTTAAATCTTTACTTTCTACACAAAGGATTTGGGGTGGCTTATATATAATAAAACTAGGAACCACTATATCACAGGAAAATATAAATGAGTAACAGAAAGAATACAAATAAAACTAGCAAATTGAGACTTGGGAAAAAGAAGAGAAATAAGCAAAGTGATTTTATTCATAATGAAATATAATAAAACTGAAATCCTATCAGAATATTATAATTTAGACATGTCAGGCTCTTCAGATTTTTGTTTAAATGATGGAGGGTTTACCAGCATATGTACTGATGTGAAGTACCTCCCTGGTTTCTCATGAAATGAGGACACTGTCTTCTGTCTCCCATCTCCTCCTAGAATGGCCCACCACTGGCCTTCATCTTCGGAAGGAGAGGTGTAATCACTGATGGAGAATTTAATCAAGGTGGGAGGGCAGGGTTAATAACACCAAGAATAATTGCTAAGACTTACCGAATACTTCCTAAGAATGAGGCACTGTGATGAGCTCTATAAATACAATTTTTGATATAATGCTCATGACAACCTTTGGAGCGGCCATGCTTCACGGAAGAGAAAACTGAGTATGATGTAGACAAGTCAGGCATTTGCCCGAGATTAAATGGTTAGTAAGTGCACTTCCAGATTTGTTGGGTTGATTGATACCCAAGTATGTTGTTAAACAACTATACCAGCCTTGCCGGAATCCCTGAATTCATTCCTCACCACCTCCCATGCATTTGTAGCTTATCTCTCAGAGATCAAGTCCCTAGCCATAACCATGCTAGCATATTTCATTAATAAATTTTAACTCCAGGTTTGCCCAATTTCTGAATGGAACCAGATAATTTTTAAGAGGTGACAATGTGTATTCAGGCCATCATTCACCAATGGGTGCCAAAGCCCTGGCAACTCTCAGACTCCTGAGAGAAATTTCCCAGAGAAAAGCTAGAATCTCTTCTGTGGCTTCAGGACCAACTACATTAGATTTAAGATATGTTATCCTGCATATCATGGATCCTGGAATCTAACCACTATGCCACTGTGAACAAGATGTATCCTTTCAAACTCTTGGAAGATTTTGCTTCTTTTGTTTAAGAAAAAAAGATAGAAAATATTAAGAACTTAAATATTTTACTAGAAAATATTTAACATTGAGAGTACCTCAAGAGGCACATCTGAAAAATCCAGAAATAGATATTTTACATTTTATATTCAGCCTATTTTCCTGTACTTAATTGATTCCATTATTCATGTTTTCCACACCCAGAAACTTACTGATTTTTTTTTTCTTAGTGGTTATGCACTTCAAGAATGCATAGTTATTAATCAAAGGATCTGTTCTTCACTTAGCCAAGCTATCCATGTTAAATTCTTTTCATCTTTTCCCATAAATCAGTTCTTCCAGCTCCTTCATTTTTATTACTCATGTCCAAGTTCTTTCCAATTTATTTGAGATGTTCACAACTTCCCAGTATTACATATCCCACAGGAAGGAATACTTTACTTACATAAACACGACATTATGATTATCTCATTACAGTTAAATTGACATGGATATTTTTTGCTTTCTGTTGCTCAACTCAGATATAATTTGCTACATTTCAAGATGGAAGCTTTTCAGATTTGGCCTCTTTATTAAGAATCCATTTTTGGTTGCTCATTGCCTGCTTTAATTTGGGATGAGACTCTGACAAAAATAAGACCCTAGTTGGGTGTTTAAGAGTCAAAAAGGGCTAGGAGTCTGAAACACTTGATTGAACTAATTCACCAGAGTTTATCCCAATACCAAAAGCAATGAGTCTAGAAATTCAAGATCCCTGCTTTTACATAAATGGATAATCAACAAGTCACAGGATTGCTTTCAGGTTGCATTAATTCAGGCATCTGCATATAGCCCCTGTTTCCAATAATTTTCAAGACACCCAAGGTCCAAATGGCTTTTATAGTACACAAATGTTAGTGGCAAAAATATTTTTCCGATAGAATTTCTCTAGCAAGATTTAGCTTAGGAGCCAAACTGCATATCCTAACGAATCCTCCACTATTTAACATTGATTGTTAATAATCATACAGCCCTGGTCATTTCTTCTTTTTCTTCCTTGGCCTGATACATAGGCATTCTTATCTCTACTAAACGATGGAAATGAGACATGAAGCATAATAAAAGTACTCTTTATTGATTTTCTACTGTTTCAGAGCCCTATACTGACAGTTTAGTATTCTTATCACCAGTTCTGGTCTTCACATATTCAAGTCTGCTTTCCTTGCACCTAGATCTAGCACAAGGTACTGTAAAAATGCAAAGAAAACACCCTAAGTTTTCAGCTAACTAAAATATGGTTTGATGCCACCTGTAGATTTTATTTGCTAAAGCTAGTATTACAGTGCTTGCCTATGGACAATCAAGAATGAGATGTAAGCAGATCACCCTTATGGGGATAAACGTGGCAGGAGGGAGAATTAAGTATCATCTAGAACCAGCCCTCACAGTGCATTAGGAATGGATGTTTTCTGTTGAGACTCCAAATACAAGTCTAATTCCTACTAAATACGCTAAATCTTGAGGCAGAGCTTTGATTACTTATTAATGAATTTGCCAATCCGTTGGAAAACACCACAGACACACTGCAATGAAATCCTGCTATCTAAGAAAATGTACAAAGTGTGATTATATCACTAAGGTGGCTCTTCTGAATAAGAAATGAGAATGTACCAATGCATCAGTGATCATGAAGATAATTTTGTCTTGTCATCAATTACCTTTTTCTTCCCCACATTACCACAAACTGCAAGCACATCTTTAATATTGTTATTTAAATCAGAAAGATAGATAGTTTGACGTACAATGAGGCCAAAATTTCTAATGGGATCTTGGCTGTAATTAGTGATTACTCTCTGGCTAGAAGCTTCTGGATGTTTTCTATTGTAGCCTTAAACATAATTATCAAAGAGTCAGGATCCATCTCTGGCATGTTCTAAATGAAGCAGAGGTTACTATTGCTGGCTGGATTTTTATTTAAGAAAACTTTGATTAACTGAACATTCAGGAATTGGAGATCCTCTGATCATCAGAATGTTATAGGCCACTCAAATACGAACGCTAATAATGAATGTAATATGTCTTTAGTAATTAAGGTTCTGGGTGTGTTCAGAGTCAATACGCAAGACATTTCACTGGTGACCCCAGTGCAATAATGTACCTGTGCATGCTGTAAAATTCCCTTTTTATTTCAGCTGGTATGACAATCATGCCCTAATTTCTGTCATTTATCTTGTTCTGCAAAAGCATAGAGTTGAAAAACATCTAGTTAATTAACAGGTCTCATTAGCTTTTTACTGGGCAATACTGAGTGTCATTCTCTCTATATAATTTAGCACCATTTTTTTGCAGCATGACCCACACAGAAAACAGATGGTAGAATTGTCCCTAAGGATGACAAATTGTGGCAATCGTTAAAAACGTGAAGAGAAGGAAACTCAAGGCCTATGACATGTCAGATGACTTCCAACCGTTATTTCATTAATCCTCAAAGCAATCTCGCAACAGTAAAAATATTATTCCCAAGTTTTGAGATGAGAAAACTGAGATGCAGCAAAATTAATCAAATACAAGCTGTCCAGAAAAGACAGAGAAAGTGGGGTCAATGGTATAGCCATAAAAAAAGGAGCATCTCTCCTCCTTGAATGAACTCTTCCAGTAGCTCTGTTGACTATGAGTGAACATCTGGAGAATTAGAAGTATCTGAACTAAGCCAATAGAGACATGAAAACAGGAAGGTGCCTGGCATTGGTAAGGGACTCGTAGGGAAGCCATGTCTGTCATAAGCAAGCCCCAAGTTTGCCAAGTTGGGGCACAGTAAATGTTCAACACACTTCTGTAACATTTCCACCCAAGGTGCTAAATACATACCTGAAGGTCTATGGTGAAAGACCTCCCTCGGTGTTTCTTTAACAATTTTTGCTTTTCAGAATTAGAATTCTAAAGGAGCAGGAGATGAAGAACCTCATTCCCCAAGAGAATTTCTGACAAGAGGCTGTCAGGAGAGCTGAAGCAGCCTGAGCAGAAACACAGCAGGCAAAAGGAACGACTTCAGGGTGCGTTGAGGCACTGCTGTGACAAAGCTGTCTCAGACTTCGGGAGACAGTACTTAACAACCCCAGCAGTGTGGCAGGGGGAGCTGGGAAGGGGCCCTTGTCAAGCAAAGTCTTCAGGCCAGCACCACGGAGTGATAAGCTCTACAAAGGGCTCTGGCCACACATCAAAGCACAAACAAATCCCCTCTCCAAGACATTCTGTGGAACACTCAAGTCTCCCAGCCCTTCAAACTCAAAGGAGGCAGGGGTTTCAAGGCCTAGCTCATTCATGCCTACATCCCACTTGTAAGGGCACCCCTTCTTTATGTGTATGCAGGTTTGGACTCTCAGTAATTGCAGGCTCTAGGAACGTAGCAAATCATTCCCGTGCATGTATGGGTGAGGAGATAGGGAAGGCATGCAGATACGCACGGCATGTGTAGGGCTGTTGCGCAGGGAGCAGGAAACACAGACGTAATAATGGATTGCCCCTCCTTCCCGGCTGCCCCGGGCTGCCCCGGGCTGCCCCACGTTCCCACGCTCTGTTCTCTCTGCCCCAAAGCAGACTTAGGCCTCTGTAGCCCTAATTTATCATAATCTGAATCTTCTCTTCTTTTATCACTAATCCTACCACTCCTATTAAAAAAAAAGAGAGAGAGAGAAAAGAAAAGATTTCTCTCTATAATAAGGATTTGGAACAATTGCTTTGGGCTTATTTTCTAAGGTTGTGAGAAAATGATCACAAAAAGAGCAATTTCCTGCAAAATTTACATTAACTGCAATGTAGAAGGGGCACCTGGGTGGCTCAGTTGGTTGAGTGTGGGATTCTTGGTGTCAGCTCAGGTCACGATCTCACAGTTTGTGGGAGTGAGCCCCATGGGGGGCTCCGCACTGATAGCGGGAGCCTGTGTGGGATCCTTTCTCTTCCTCTCTGCCCTTCCTCTGCTCGTGCTCTCTCTCTCTCTCTCACTCTCTCTCTCTTAAAACAAATATATAAACATAAAAAATTTTTTAAATTAATTGCAATTTAGAAGAACCTAGCATTTCTCCTTTTCACCATATAAATTCATCTTCAACCATGTCAGAATAATTTCAGAACTAAAATTCATTCACCCTCTTTGACAACCTCCTGTGTCAGTCTCCAGGAGGAGGATTTAATATATATGATCTCAAGTATTTTGTCCTCAAAACAGCCCTGGGAAGCAGTTCTTATGACCCACGGTTACAAAGAGGGAAACTGAGGCAAGGAACATATAAGCATCCAGCTATCTATCCTACAGCTGGGGACTGGGCAAGTTGGGAAATAGAAATCAGACCCTTGGGACTCTAAGCCCAGGGCTCTACATTATCCTTTATTTTTCTCTAAGTCCACATTGTACAGGACTTTTTTTTTTAAAAGCTTATCATTCTTTCTAGTTTTAAGGAATTTAGAAAGTCATTAAAAGCCAAATTGAAGGCTAACTCTGTACAGAAAGTTTTACTACTTACAATCAGAGAACCTAGATACTTCCACCAAAAAATAGATGATGATAAAATAACACCTTACTTTGAAGCCAAATTTTTGTAAATGTGAGGACTTTTGTAAATGCTTCCATTTCTTTTCCTTATGTTTTCTTTATTTTTTAAAATGCTTTTTAAAAATGTATCTATTTATTCTTGAGAGGGGCATGCCCATAAGTGGGAGAGGATCAAAGAGAGAGAGAGAGAGAGAGAGAGAAACTCAATGAGGCTCCACAGTGCCAACACAGAGCCAGATATGGGGCTCAGTCTCACAAACTGTGAGATCATAACCTTAGCCAAAATCAAGAGTCAGACATTCAACCAACTGAGCCACCCAGCCACCCCTAATGTTTCCATTTCACTCAATTGAAACGTCCCCCAAACTGGTGGGTCCTTCCTATTTATTTATTTATTTATTTATTTATTTATTTATTTATTTAATACCCCTTGCTTTTTCTATTTTTTATTTTTTAAATGTTTATTTATTTTTGAGAAAGAAAGAGAGAGACAGAGTGTGAGCGGGGGAGGGGCAGAGAAAAGGGGAAACACAGTATCTGAAGCAGGCTCCAGGCTCTGAGCTGTCAGCACAGAGCCCGACACGGGGCTCGAACTCACAAACTGCAAGATCACGAGCTGAGCTGAAGTTGGATACGTAACCAGCTGAGCCACCCAAGCACCACAATACCCCTTGCTTTTTTAGTTGAGTAGCATTTCGTACTTACTGAACACCCTTGGCCTGTGCTCCCTTGGCAAGTGAATGAAACAATTTATTCTGTGCATGAAGTCAGACCAAATGCCTGAAGAAACAAAAGTCAAAGGAAAGAACCTATGTGTTTGCTTGAATCATCAGCGATTGCCTCATTTTCACCCTTCTGAACCCAAATAATTGTGTGCAATGCTCAGAGCATCAGGCCTGGAAGGCCCTAAACTCTGGGTTTGTTGGAAGCCTCTCAACCCAGCCTTGACCCGAGCTTATTAGCTCCGTTCTCACGTGCCAAACCCACAGGACCTACATGGGCTGAGGTCATCAAGTCTGCTGAGCACCGCACCCTCTTGAGGTTTTTAGATCCGGGCAGCAGAGGCTGACTCTGACTGAGCAGGCAGAAAATGAGGCGAAGGCTGCGTCAGGTTGTTCCCAGGATCGCCGCTCGTGCCAGGGAAGCCGACTCGAGGCTGAGCCGCCGGGACCGGTGGCCGAGGCTGTGCCGCAGACCTCGTGTGACGGAGAAAAGGCTACTGCCGCCATCAAGCCCTGGGCACTATGTTGTCATTCCTGTGCCAAGAACTAAGCCTCACAGTCATGGCTACTGCCCGTGGTGACAGCAAGAGGGAGACAGAGAGCGAGCGTCTCTATGACGTCACTGGCTACGGAGTCAAACACTGGAGCAGGGGATCTGACTGGCGGAGGTCCGCCCCGTGCCTGTGGTGGAATACAGGGGTCGTCCCCAGATTTATAAGGCCACCCGCCCAAACTCACAAGGCAAAGAGTTCCCGAATGTTAAAAGGGAGGACTCATAGATGTAAGAAAAATATAATGTCAGCTTCTTGGCGCAATAAAATAACAGGTTCTAGTTTTGAATTGAGAAAGCAAGAGAGTGAGAGTAACTGCCCTAAATTCATAACAACTAAACCAGGATTGGATCCCTCGCATTTGTATTCGAAAGCCCATGCACTTTCAACTGAGCGATGCTGTCGCCTTGTTTTAGTAAAATAAGTATAGTTCAGATTCAATTTTATAAACAGCACAGTGATCATTTTTAACTAAACAATGTCAGAGATAGAAATAAGACATCTTAAGCCGGCGATTGTGTTCAAATAAGTTTTGATAATCCCAAACCAAATCATTGCTGCCGTTTGAATAAGCTACCTACTTTTTGCCTCTTTGGGTAAAGTATGGATGACACATTGAATCAAAATAGTGCAATTTTATATTTGTAACATATATTCCCCTCTTTTACAGGTATTAGGAAATGAGCAGAAAAAGCAATTTAATGTATGTAAAGACTGTGTGAGCATGGAGCCTTAGATCTGTATACAGAAAAGTATCTATTTTTTTAAACTGGTATTGTATGCGGGACATTGTTCTCACCACGCGGGAAGAAGTGCTGGGGAGAAGCTCAAAGTCTAGTAAATGAGTTAAAGAAATAAAAGTATCATTTCAATTATGCGTGGAGTGCTCTGATAGGGCCGCACACAGGGTCTGACAGAGCTCACAGGACACCAAGCCAATTCCCAGGGAATCTGGGAAGACTTCCTGTAGGAGGTTCCAAGCCATTAGGGAGGCCCCAATCATTTTCATTCATCATTCTAGGCTCTGCTAAGAGTTAGATATTTAGAATACATGGAACTTAGAATCTAGTGACAAAGACATAAATTAAACAAATAGTGGGGCGCCTGGGTGGTTCAGTCAGTTAAGCACCCGACTTCGGCTCAGGTCATGATCTCATGGATGGTGGGTTCGAGCCCCGTGTCGGGCTCTGTGCTGACAGCTCAGAGCCTGGAGCCTGTTTCAGATTCTGTGTCTCCCTCTCTCTCTGAGCCTCCCCTGCTCATGCTGTCTCTCTCTCTCTCTCTCTCTCTCTCTCTCTCTCAGAAATAAATAAAGCATTAAAAAAATTTAAAAAACCAAATAGTTACACTAATACTTTATTAAATGTAATTGGAACACATGTTATTGAGAAAAAGCAGGGGTTTATAAGCGTTTACAACAGGGGAAACCTACCATAATCTAGATGAGGTAGTGAGGAGGTGCTGGGAGGCCTTTCTCCATGGGTCTCTCACGTACACCTCGTCTTAGCTTTGTTCCATATTTTCTGTTCAAGGATGTTTGTATAGTAAGCAGTCTCAGCAGATAAAGACAGTGCCTCCCTCTGGGGTGTGGGGAAGATCTGCGTCCTATTTCTACAAAGACATTAAAGGCAATGGCTCCCTGTATGGCGGAGGATGGGCATGTTGGCTGAGTCTCCTTTAGAAGCCTGAGGCTTCTTCAGCTTTAGGTTCCTCAGCTGTGAGGCAACACCACTGTGTGTGCAGCACTGACTGTCTTAGACAGTCCTGTGCCGTCCCCGGGAGACGTTAGGAACACGTATGCGTCTACTACCTGCTGGGCTGTGGTGATACAGACCCTTGTCTCTGATCCCGGAGTCTCCAGTCTTCTGCCAGCGTCTGTGTTACTGAGGCCGGATAACACATTAGCTTACACGTAAGGAAGAATTTCAGACCATTCAAGGCAATGGGGCATCTGGTAGGAAGTCAGAGATCTCCTTGAAGACAAAAGATTTGACCTGAAGAATAAGGAGTCGATAGTGAGGGTTGGTTATTTCTGGACGGAGGCAAGTCATGTAGCAGGACTCTGAAGGAAAGAAGCATGGCAGACTCAGAGCCTGAAAAAGGTCTGGAATGTCTGGAGCATAGCAAGTGAGGTTGGAAGGATCTCTACAAGAGGCCGTAGAGGTAAGGAGGGGCTTCATCATACGTGATGCTGTGATTTATAATGAGAAATATATCTTTAGTCTTTGTCTTCTTTCTGGCACAGGGCTCCAAAAACTCTTGGAATTTCCTAAGTGATGAGAGTAACAAAGGTGTGTTTTGTTATGTTAATGAGGTGACTTTTGGAAAGCATCTCAGGTTGGGGGCTGGTTGCCAGGAGAACCAGCCCTGTGATTAGAGGGTTGGAACTTTCAGTCCTACTCTATATCCATCGGGGAGAAAGAAGGAACTGGAGGTTGAAACAATCGCCAGTGATTGAATCAATCATGCCTATGTAATGAAGCCTCCATAAAAATCCCAAAGGAGGGGGGTTGAGAGCACTTCTGAGCTGGTGAACACGGCGGGGGGGGGGGGGGGGGGTGCTTCCAGCAGCTGGGGAGGGCAAGGCGACTCTGAGCCCTTCCCACGTACAAGTGCCTTATGCATCTCTTCCATTTGGCTGTTGATTTGTATCCTTTAATAGCCTTTATAATAAACCGGTCATTTAATGATTAAGTGGGTTTCCTGAGTTCTGTGAGCCTTTCTAGCAAATTAACCCAAGAAGGCAGTTATAGGAACCTCTGATTTACAGCCAGCCAGGTAGAAGCACAGGTTATGACCGGGGCTTGCGACTGGCATCTGAAGCAGGGGCAGTCTTGAGGGACTAGCTCTTAACACGTGGAACATGAGGACACTCAGGTGGTGTTGGAGACTTCCTTGTGGGGGAAACCTCCCCTCCCACACATTGGAATTGAATGCAGAACCCTCTTTACATATGAAGGAGGAGACAATTCTCTCCTTGTTTACCATCTTCCAAGTGGCTTACCCATCCTTCACTATGGACTACTTTTTCAAGGATATTTGTATCATGAATAGTTTGGGAAAACAGAAATCGTGTCTCCCTCTGGAGATGGCAGATGTCAGGCATGCTTACCATCCATTATAGAAGATTTGGGTTTTCTATGTTCAAAGAAATGTCCCTCCTGTAATACGACCCACTGCATTCGCAGGCATTATCTGGCCCTCTTGGAATCACCCAGTAGGAACTGAGATCTGGAGAAATGACATGAAAAAAATGCCGATGCTCTGGCTACTGCTATCGCTTTGGGAAATCTGTGTCTTCCACCGGCCTCCATGGAACTGTGTAGGGCTAACTTCATAATTTGCAAGTAGGGTAAAAATCCAATCTTTCACAGTTGTTGAGAAGACTTTATTCTATAGCCATAAAATGTTAGTTATTGGGATTTTATAGTTTCATTTTTTGGCTTTTATCTGGCATTGTTACCTACATATCTCTGGAAAATAGTGCCATAAATGAAATCAAACCATCCACTCCCAGAGTGATATTTGGTAGAATGAGGAAGAAGAACGTTAAAAATAATCATTTGTTTTCAAGGACCCTACAATACTCATTGAACAACTGCAGAGTGGTACCATGAAAATCATGTGGATTTGGTGTAGTCCAATTCCAGGTCGGCCCCATGTCGCCTGAGACTGAACTAGCCACCAATTTCATTTGCTCTTGGATTCATCATTCATTAAACAGAGATAAGTTGTATACAGTCTGTACCATATAGTTCACATGAGGGTGAAATAAGATGATGGTATTTGAATAACAGTGATAAGATTTCTCTACCAAACAACTTTTAAAATTGTTCAACGGTGTCTCTCTTGGGGAAATTTAGTTGCTGAGGAGCACTGGGACAAATTTTCAAGATCAGTTTGTTCTTGACCTAAAACTCTTTATTCTTGGGTCACTGAGCCATTTGTCTATTTATGGACAACCTTGGTTTTGTCTTTCTAAAAGCTTTGCCAAACTCAGGGAAAATGCTGAGGCCACATGCATCAGATGTTTGAAAATATGACCTACTTTCCAATCTCAGGATACGATGATTTTCTTGTCTATAACTAATAACATCATATATCCTATAATATTGTTAGTCAATACCTGATTGAAAAACTATTTCAGTAAAGCCATGGTGACTGTCTAATCACCAGAAAACCCTTAGCCGCACAGGAACTGAAATGCTAAAAATGGAACCCAATGTCAATTTCCCCAAATATGCTGAATGCCAGTTTCTTAAAATGCAAGTAGCAAGTGAGACTTTTGTTTACGCATTTAATAGTAGTGAGGATCCTTATTCTCAAACTGATGAAACCGAAGTACATAGAAAAACTCAGTTCTATGCTGCCTCTTTATTGCTTTCAATCTTCCATGAATTCTGAGAAAAGAAATTTGCCTTTCCACTCTACTACAATGTTTTCCTGGCACTTCCTTGAGATTATGATAAATTGGCAAAAATCTAATTAGTTAAAGCCTCAAACCAAAGATAATCAAACCCTTTGGAGTGATATTTCTTTGTAGTTTATGGACAAGAAAAATTAGCCCCAGAGGCCAAGGGACTTTGTATGGAAAGCAAGCTTGGTCTGATCTTACCCCAGTGTTAGAGCCAGGACTCAATGGACAGTGAGGTTGACTTAGGGGACTTCCAAAACTCACCTGAAGGTCATTTTGACTATGGTGCTGACCCTGATTCCTTTTGCCTCTGTTTTATCCTGTACCTACCTTTTTTTCTTATTATGACTTCCATATCACTTTATGTCACGTACTGGTTCATTTTACAGTTTTCTTCTTTAAAATCAGGGAACGTATTAACTTTTCAACTGATATCATTGCTTAAAAAATATTTTTGCTTTTGAATTGAATGAATTAATGAATAAAGTATAATAACTAATCTGATACCTTTGAGTCCAAAGTACAAGCAGGAAAATTGCTTGATGTCCATGGGGTGCTGTCGGGAGGGGAAGTTCAAGTATTAAGACAGTATCACAGCAAGCAG